GGGGCGGGCACAGGACAGTGAGACGGTGAAGACAGGCTGAGAAAGTAGCAGGGAGAAAAGACATCTAGAAAAAGAAAGGGTTCTGGAGTGAGGGCTAACGAGCTAGAGAGAGGGGCCCTCGAGTCTCCAATAGGAGCGGGGGTGACTGGACAGGGGGACACTTCAGACAGAGAGTGTCAGGGGACAGAGGATGGAAGAGTTGCCGCCTTGGCAGACAAAGTGACTTGGTGCTGGGACATCAGAGGGAGAAACAGGAAGGGAAAGGGGGCTGTGGTTGTCATTGGGGCAGAGGGAGAAGAGAGAATTAGAAATATATGGAGATGGGGGGTAATTCGAAAGATGGGAGAGAAAAAGTTAGCAAGAGGTGAAACAGGTTGCCCGGGTGGAAACGAACAGGTGGAAGAAGAGGTCTCAAGAGAAGGGAAGAAACAGCAGAGGAGGAAAGAGGGAGAAAAAAAAATGAACAGAAATTGAGAGAATGAAACAGGATCCCAAAGTGGACGGACAGAAGCAGAAGGAATGAGATAGAAGGTTATACAGAGTGGGAGAGGGAGGAAGAGCCCTGTCCAGAGCAGTGGGGAGTTGATGGGATATGCTGTCGTTATTAAAGTGCGGGCAAGTTGGTTCCTGCTCATAGCGACCCTATATAGGGTTTTTGAGGAGCAGCTGGTGGGTTTGAACCAGTTTATGGTTCAAAGTCCAGTGCTTATCCTACAACTCCATACCAGGAGTCCCTGATTAAGTTGTGGTGTATTAATTGTTGTCTTTATAATCTAACTTAGAAATCTTAAAAAAAAATATATATATATATCACACAGGTTAGAATGAGAATTGCAAACATGCCCGTCTATTAACCTTGTAAGTTTTGTTATTATTTGCATCAGAAGGTAACTTCATGGCAACTGCTAGTCAGTCAGTGGGCAGTGAGTAATCTCAGTCCATTCTGGGTCAGTTTCTGCCCTTTTCCTGGGACAGGTAGGTATCAGAAAAGCAAAACAAAATAAACAAAAACTGCATGTTTTTAAAAAATGTATGAATTGATTTTCTCTGAAATTTTCTGTCCGATTTCCTTTATGAGACATGCTTTGAGACATGCTTAAAATGTCTTCCTTTCTAGTCTTTCTCATGGGAGTCCACGTGTGGCATTATATGGCAAGCACTGGACCACAAGGTCGGTTTGAATTGCACAGTTGGCTGTTCACACTCACCCGGTCATTCCTCGGAAACCCTGTACAGGGTCACTATGAGCGGGAACCACTGTGAGATGATCTGAACAACGCAACAGCAAGTCTTTGTCGTATGTTGGAAACGTTCTTCTAAGACTTTTTCAGTGTGTGCTTTATAGGGAAGTCTGTGATGTTTTATATTAACAGTCAAAACCTGGTAATAATTAGTCTGATGTTCTGCTTTCTTCTCTCATGGAATCTGCTAAGGTACTGAACTGTGAGCTGCTAAGTAGACACTTTCTTCAAGTCCTGCTTGTCCTTTCTCTGCAGATATTGAAGGGGTGTGTGTGGACTGTGGAGTCAGGCCTCACCTTCCCACATTTCTCTTATCTTTTCGTTAGCCACTTCATCCCCTTCTGTGGCCAGACCTCTCTCGCGCGCTCTCTCTAGTCCTCTGGGTCTAGGTCACAAGCTAGAAGGCGCCTGTCCATCTTCATTGACTGCCCATGTAGCCTTTTCCTGGCCACCAGGCACCGAGAGCTGGCCTGACACACATTCACTTTGTCCTGCCAGCCCATGCTGGCCCGTTGCCCCTGGGGGTTGGTGATTTCTATAGAATGGCTCACAGGATTCCTGGAGACTGCCACCTGGCCTTACAGCCATCAGGCACCATCCGGGAGAGATGTCTGCATGGGGCCTCTATTGTGCCCAGGAACTGTGTTCAGAAGTTGTCACTGCTCCAGGAGACCCCAAAGAGCACACTCCAGGGTCCCCTAGTCATTGTGCCCTCAGTGGGTATGTTTGACTTCTTGTTAGCCGGCTGTTCCGATTCAGTTCCGACTCGACAAGTCTGTCCAGCAGAACGAAACACCGCCCAGTCCTGCCACCCTCACACTTGGTGCTGTGTTTGTGCCCATCGTTGCAGCCACTGTGCCAGTCCATCTCACTGAGGGTCTTCCTCTTTTTCACTGCCCCTCTGCTTTACCAAGCATGATGTCCGTTTTAACGACTGGTCTCCTGATAGCATGTCCAGAGTCCATGAGGTGAAAGGTCACCATCGTCCTTCCTTAAGGCAGCGTGGGTTCTGGACTGGACGAGTCTTAACACATAGTTATGTTTGATCCGGTCAATGAATGTGTATGGCGGCACCTGGCCCCCCTTCCATCCTGAAGTCAGTTCCCTAGTTGTAGGTTCTGTGAGGCCCCTGCTTGCCTGGCTTTTTATGAACAAAGAACACCTTAATTGCCTGGGCTGTTGTCAGCATTGTTGTTCCAACCTACTGTTGTCAAATTGATTTTGACTCATGCCCACTCTGTCAGACAAAGTGGAACTACTCCATAGAGTTTCCAAGCCTGTGAATCCTCATGGGAGCAGGTAGCCTCATGTTTCTCCAGCTGAGCAGCTAGCTGGTAGGTTTGAACTGTGGACTTTGTGGTTAGTAGCCCAGAGCTGGACCCGCTGCGCCATCAGCAGAGCCCGTCTGCTCACAGTTGAGAAATTGACTCAGATTTTAAGTCCTTAGCTGAACCCTCAGTTGGTTAACAGCATGCTGCAGAGATGATCATTCTCTTTGGGGGAAAACATTTTTCTTTGTTTTCAGGACAGCGCAGTATTTAAATAGCTATCTATCTCTGCATGTCTTTCATTTTCACTCTTCATCCTGATCCTGTTTCAGATTCCTCATCTGGTTTCTCCTGAGTTGCCTGGGCTCGCAGCGTGGGAGCACCCAGGATGCAGTCATTGGCCCGTCTCTCTGCTCTGTCTACACCCAGAGCCCTGCCTTGTCATCTCATCTTACAGCTTTAAACACTTTGATGTCGCCCACTCTGACCTCTCCAGCCAGACCTCTGCCCCGGAGTCCAGGCTCATGTGTCCAGTTGGCCCCTCGACAGGTCTGCCAGGGCCCCTCAGAGGCCCCCCCACCATAAAGCATGCGCTCCTGATGGTGTCCATGGGACCAGCTTCCCGGGACTCAGGTGAACATCTTGGTAAGCTTCTAAAGTATGAGATACTACCTCATTTATAAGTATTTAAAATTAACATGAAATAACTGATTAGATGGCTGAGTGGATACAGAGTTCCCACAATTCTTTTGCTATGTCAGGAAAACACTCCTGCTTCCCCAGGCTTCCGGGACCTCCTCTTCTGGTCTTCCTAGCCCTGTTTGCTGCGCTGTATCCCATTTCCTTACCTTGTCTGGGACAAGAACATTGTTGCCTCATTGCCTTCACAGGGGCGACCCCCTCCACCTGGAACCCTCCAGTCCCTCACATGCACCTGGCCAACACCCCTTTGGTCCTCTCCTCTTTGTTCTCTGGGACCCTTCTCTGAACCCCATTTAACATTCCAGCCACACCCTCGCCCCACCTTGGCCCATCATGCCTGCTTTGCCCTTGGCTCTCCGCTCCTGCCCCTTTTGCTTTCTGGAGACTGGAGACAGAGTGACCCCAGGGAAGAGCAGAGCCACAAGGCAGGAGGGGTTCTGGACTTGCCTCCACTGAGTGGGCTCAGCCCTGCCTGAACTCTGGATTGCAGAGGCATTTGGCAGATACCGCCCTTGTGCCCCTCGCCAGATTGTCCCCTTCCAGGAGTGGAGTGGGAGCTCACCTCTGGGCTGTGTAATCACCCCAGTTGCTTCGAATATGCATCCAGCTTTGAGCACCGAGGCTCGGGGTCCTCCATTTCTGAGGGTGAGACCAGCCCCTGATCCAAGGGAGCTGAGGGGTTCTGTTCTGCATGGGATGGGTGTCAGGGCTGGACTGGACCCTGAAGGAGAAGGAGAGCTCTCCCATCCCAGACCTCTTAGCTGCAGCTGAGTGTGGGCTTCACTGGGGGAGGGGGAGGAGGGAGTCATAAGTACCCCTGTTGGACTGTGTGTGGGGAGCTTGTTGTCCCTGAGTCCTTCCTGGAGCAGTGGACACAGGGACTGTCTTTCCCCATGACGACGTCCTCCCGGTGTATGTGTGTGTGGTTGTGGCAGAAGAAGTTTGACGTTTATTCATTCTAACCATTCAGTAGCATGTTTTTTCCGCACGTAGGACTGGCGGCTCAAGTCTGATCTTGCCCAAGAATGAAGCCTGGAGGAGGCAGGAAGAAAGCGGGGTCTGGAATGGCTCTGTCCCAGGTAACGCAGTCTGGGTGGATGGTTCCGTCCTCTCCTTCCTGAGGGGCCGTCCTGAGAATTTCCTCATCTCCTCTGGCTCTGAGGTGTCGTCCTGCCTGACATGTTGACTCTTACTCATCCAGGTCTTTTCTGGTCCTCTCCTAACTTTACACAGATTCTGTCTCACTGTGACCCAGGGACACGGGACTTGTGAAGAGACTCCTTTTGGGAGTATCAGGGGACAGGCTTCACCACAGTCCTGGGTGGGACCTGAGGAGTGGCCCAGGGAAGCGGGGATGGTGTAGGGGCTGCGTGGAGATGCCCTCTCAGCATCCTGTGGACGTGTGTGTCCTGTGAATGCAAGGAACATCTGGAAAATCGGGAAAAGGAGATAATATGGAAAAGCCGGCTCTGCCTGGTTTGATAATGCATTTGAAGCTAAGCAAGGGAATCAGTGTGACCTGGCTCCTGTAAGACTGGCAGGGGGGCAGCTGGCCCCTCTCACTTCACAAGAGGGAAAGTTACCGAGTGGAGAAGGCCACCATGAGGGGCAGTTTGCACTGACATTGTTTTGGTCTTTTCTGTCTTTTCATGACCTTTGGCTTTCTTCCTGTATGATGTTCTTGAGTTTCCCTCCCAGCTCTTGTCTTCTCCTCGGTCATTAGTGTCTCATAGATCAAATCTGTTTTGGAGGTGGTCTCTAAATTCAGGTGGGCTATACATTCAAGGTCATATTTTGGCTTTCATGGACTTGTTTTTGTATTCTTCAGCTTCATCCTGAACTTGTTCCATCGAGTCGGTTCTGACCCATAGTGACCCTGAACAGGGTTTCCGAGGCTGCAGATCTTTACAGGAGAAGAAAGCCTCATCTTTCTCCTGCGGAACAGCTGGTAGTTTCGAATTGCTGACTTTGCGGTTCACAGCCCGATTCGTAACCACTACGCTAGCAGAGCTCCTTCCGCCTGAACTGCCATATGAGCAGCTGATCGTCTGTTCCCCAGTCTGCCCCTGGACTTGTTTTGGTTGATGATCGGGAGCATATGAGAGGATTGCAAATACCATGGCTTGGATCAGGCATGCCTCAGTCCTCAAAGTGACATCTTTGTTTTGAACCCTTTTCTCTTTTGCAGCAGATTTTTGCTATGTGATAAATTGTTTGATTTCTTGACTGCTGCTTCCAGGAGTGTTTGCTGTTGATCCAAGTAAAATGAAATCCATGACAGCTTCCGTATTTTCTTTGGTCGTCATATTGCTTGTTGGCCCAGTTGTGAGGGATTTTGTTTCCTTTGACGTTAAGGTGGCTTTTAAAAACGTGTTAAGAACTTTTCTTGTGATTTGGATGAGCAGCTGGTGGGTTTGAGCTGCTGACCTTGTTCACAGTCCAGTGCCGATCCTACAGCGCAGAATAAAACTTCTTCATAAGGTTTCCAAGGTTGTAAATCACTATGGGAGGGGACCGCCACATGTTTCTCCTGCAGAGCGCCTGGTGGGTTCAAAATGTCAACCTCTCGGTTAGCAGCTGAGTGCTTAACCACTGCAGCACCAGGGATACTTCCATATATATCAGTGTAGGGTTAAAGCATTTGAGAGATCTACAGGAGTCCTGGTGTGGCACTGTGGGAGAAGCACTAGACTGCTAGTCACAAGGTCGGCGGTTCAAACCCACCAGCTGCTCCTAGGAAAACCCTATACGGGGTTGCTATGAGTCAGAAATAACTGGACAGCACTTAACAACAACAACAACTGTTATTTCTGTTAATTTGAATGTGTGTGACTACGTGTATATATGCATGTGTTCATGAGACTATTTGTATGAAAGACCTGTTATTTCATAAGTTATATTTTTTTAACCCTTGAGAATATGTCTTATTTTCTGTCATTTTTTTCCCCCACTACATTCTAAAATTAATGAGCTAATCCTACGAAGAATAAATATTAGGTCATGTTTGTATGTTAAGTGTATGCATGTATACGTAACAACATTTTAGCCTTTCCCAAATTGTGTACGTCTAAGTTGTTGGAAGTTTTCTGTTTCGAATCCTTGTGTCAACCTGCCTGTACTGCTGTTCTCACTGTTGTCACCTGTTTGATTCTGGAGATTCAGGTCTAAAACCTGACCACCTGTAGTCAGGTCCTGGCTCGGCCACTTATTAGCTATTGGACCTGAGGTGAGTGTTTTACTCTTTGTGACAGAATTTGTTCCTCTGTAAGGTGGGAACAGAGCTCTTTCTAATAGACTGTTTTGCTGTTGTACGTATTAACACTTGTCAGAGCTTCTTGTTAGGTGTTGTCAAGTCAATGCCAACACATAGCGACTGGACCTGACAAGAGTACATGGCCCCCTAGGGTCTCCTAGGCTGCAGTTCTTATGGGATTACATCACCACGTCTTCCCTCCCAAGAAGCAACTGGTGTGTTCAAAGTGCTGACCTTTTGGTTAATCGCTGAGCACTTAACCATTGTCCCATCAGGGCTTAACCAAAACAACAAAAACAATCCAGAACCCACTGCTGTCCGTTTATTCGGGCTCATAATGACAGAATCAAATTGCCCTATAGGGTTTCCAGGAGTCCTGGTGTGGCGCTGTGGGTTAATGCGCTGTGGACCGCAAAGTCAATTAGAACTGCAAGGTCGAGGGTTCAAACTTACCAGCTGCTCCTCAGAAACCCTATACAGGGTCACTATAGTTTGGAACTGACTCAATGGCACATCACAATGACAACAACAGTAGGGTTTCCAGGGCTGTAGCTTTATGAAAGCAGATTGCCATATAGTTCTCCTGCAGGGTGGGTGCTGGGTTCGAACCACTGCGTGACCAGGGCTCTCTCACCAGGGCTTCTGAACCGAAACCAAACTCACTGACGCAGAGTTGATTCGAACTCACAGCGACCCTATAGGGCAGAGTAGAGCAGCTCCCTTGGGGTCCTGAGGCTGTGATTCTTCACGGGAGCACAGTGCCTCATTTGTCTCCCATGGAGAAGCTGATGGGTTAGGTAAGCAGTCCAGTGCTTATCCTACAGTTGTGGTTGAGTCAGTTCTGTATAGGTCACAACAAAAATAGTGACCCTGTATAGGGTTTCTTAGGAGCACCTGATGAGCTTGAACTGCTGACCTACTGGTTCAAACCAACTTTGCAATCCAGCGCATTACCGCACAGCACCATACCACGACTCCGTAGCACATGGTAAATGTCCAGAAATTGTCAGTCTCTGCTGTTACTGTCATCACAGTGTTAGGATTCTGACTCACTTATTTTAAAGCGCTGTGGACGTGGGCGTACCTGAAGACAACAACTTCTCCTCTACCTTGTCTTAGAAACTGAGCGTCATCTGTTCACGTTGATTTAATGGGTTTTATCTTATATGAACTGGAACAAACTGGATGGCACTTAACAACAACAACAGTCTTTTCTTAAGTAGCCCTGGGTGACGCTGTAGGATAAACTCTGGGCTGCTAACCACAAGGTTGATGGTTCAAACCTTCCAGCTGCTCCTTGGAAACCCTATACAGCGTCAGTGTGAGTTGGAACGGACTAGATGGCACTTAACAACAACAACATGCAGCAGCATCTTTTTTTTGTGGAAAACTATAATAAAGCAAAGTTAGAGACACATAACTTGTTCACAGTTTTCTTAGGTAGATCTGTCAGAACATTGACACCAACCAGATTGACTCTTCTACCCTCTTTCTTGGACCTCTTCTGTGAAAAGAAGACCTTTTCCAAATCCTCTTGGTGACATGTGTTTCTCATTCCAGGGACTGCTGACGTTCAGGGACGTGGCCGTGGAATTCTCTCAGGAGGAGTGGGACTGCCTGGAGCCTGCGCAGAGAGCTCTGTACCGGGACGTGATGTTGGAGAACTACAGGAACCTGGTCTCCCTCGGTGAGCCTGACTTCCCTGCAGAAGTCAGGATCTGCCCTTGGGTATCTTGGCATTTCCCTTTCTGAATTTCTCGGAAGCTCCTGTCTTCCTTGCTAGTTTCACATCCCTGTCTTAAGGTGGAGACTGAAGTTGAGTCAGAGATAAAAAGCCTCCTCATGTGGTAGCGTAGTGGTTACGAATCGGGCTGCGAACCGCAAGGTCAGCAGTTCGAAACTACCAGCTGCTCCGTGGGAGAAAGATGAGGCGTTCTGCTCCCGTAAAGATTAACAGCCTCGGAAACCCTGTGCAGGGTCGCTATGAGTCAGAACCGACTCCACAGCACATAACAACAACAACAACAATGTGGTTTCTGGACTACATAACCCTCCCCTGTCTTTAGATGGCTTTCCGGCTTCACCCGAAAACCAGTGGTGGTTTCAGAGCTTGAGTAAAGAAAACACTTCATGGCCAATTTAAAAACAAACAAACAAAAACAATTCTTTAGTAATCTCAAGGTCAGCAGTTCGAAACTACCAGCTGTTCTGCGGGAGAAAGATGAGGCGTTCTGCTCCTGTAAAGATGTGCAGCCTCGGAAACCCTGTACAGGGTCACTATGGGTCGGAACCGACTCCACGGCCCAGAACCACCAGTTTTTCTCCTGTGGTTTTGGTTCAGTAGTTCTTTGGAAGAGAGCTAGATATCTGCTTATACTTACTGCTCACTTACTTACTGATAAGTCTCATTATCTGACATTTTTCATTTACAACTTTGACAGTTTTTCATTTAGCGTCTACAGTGGTCCGGGTCCCATGTGGGATGACGTCCAGGTCAAGGTGGCCCTGGTGAGGACAGGGTCAGATGAGGGATGGCAGCTAGTTGGCTGCAGGACATCTCTTTGTCTGCAGTGTCTCAGTCTGGCGCTGAAGGGCATGGGGGGTGCCGTGATGAGGGGGGTGCCGTGGGGGATGCCGTGGGCAGGCAGGTGGAGGCCAGGTGAGGGTCTACAGCTGTGGATGGTGTATGAGCAGGGTCCCCACCCAGTGTAGGTGGTGGGTGTTGGACCACCTCAGACCACCGTCTCCTAAAGCTGCAGGCTCCGTAGTAGTGAGGAAGGAATGGTGGCGAGTGGAATCTGCTGTCTCAGGGATCTGAGATGTGCCGGGAGCAACCAGGTGGTGGGGGACGCTGGCTCTGCAGCTGGGCTCTGGCCCCCAAGTCTTAGACTGATTTCACTTAATGAGCTGGTCTTTGGAACCTAGCCATGTGGAGGAGTGGTTAAGTATTCTGAAGGAGACAGTCATTGGCTGAAGTTTCGAACTATTTTTCTAGACCCATCTATAATATTTTCTCCTCTGAGCTGAAGAGATGGCTTAACGTCTTAGTCTGGAAAAGCTATCTAGCATATCAATTTTTATTTATTATTTTTGTCTTAATCAGGAATCTCCGTATCTGAGCTGAATATCATCTCCGTTTTGGAGCAAGGGACAGAGTCCTGGACTGTGGAGTGGAAGGAGAAAAGGGCAAAATACCCAGGTAGGTGCGGCTTTCAAAGTGTAAGTAAGATAAGAACTCAGATATGAGAATTAAAGATCCATCTCATAAGTTATATGTATTTTTAATGAATAGTTAACTTCTTAGTGAAAGTTTACATAGCAAATTAGGTTCCTTTAAAAATATTTTTTATGCATATTGTTCATTGACATTGGCTACATTTTCTGCCTTTTGTCAGCATTCTCCATGCTTCTGCTCTGGTGGTTTCGTTTCCATTAATCCAGCTTCCCCGTCTCCCCTGACCTCTTGTGTACTTTAGGGTAATGTTGACTGCTTGGTCTCGTATAGAAGGTTATTTGTTTAATTGATTTTTGAGGGAACATTTTGTAGGACTCATAGGTGATACTGTTTAGTTCATGAATCAAGCTAGTTTGCATCTGAAAGTCTTGGGGTTACCTCTAGTCTCAACCAGTCCGACAAAGTGGTTTTTATTTATTTAGTTTTTATTAAAAACGAAGACTTTTGCTTTGCAGTTTTCTCCCGTCCTTTTGCGTCCATCTGTGGTGCCCCTGGTTGACCACCATAGTAGTGTTATGGTAACGGGCACCATCTTGTTCCCGGGCCTGCGGATGGATGAGGCCTTGGTTCATGTCAGCTGTCAGCCTGTAGACTAGATCCTTCTTTAGATGTTTGGTTTCATCCTTTCTCTCCTGCTGCAGATGACTAGAGACCAATGTTGTATCTTAAAGGGAATAAGTTACATTTTTCAGCTCTTGAAAATACATCTTGTTTTTATTTGCCATTATGTTTTAATACTTAATAAGTGATAGTTAATGTTTGTATGTGTGTGTGTGCGCGTGTGCATGTATTGAATGACTTTTTATTCTGTTCCAAGTTGTTTAAACTCGTTTCCATGTTTTTGTTTCAATCCCCTCTGTTTGTTGTTGTTGTTGTTAGGTGCCGTTGAGTCGGTTCCGACTCATAGCAACCCCGTGCACCACAGAATGAAACCCTGCCCGGTCCTGCGCCATCCACACCAGTGTTACACTTGAGCCCATTGCTGCCACCCCGTGCCAGTCTCGGTTAGCACACTGTTTTGGCAGTGTGACAGGAAGTCCACTGAAAGGCAAAGAGGAAGCCCTACCCCTCAATATTGTTTGGGAGGCTCTTCCCAAATGGGAGGGGCCTGTGGGAGAACAAAAGTTATTACTATTTTTTTTGGTACGCTCCCAAAGGAAGTTTTTATCGTCCTCCACATCCCCATTTATCATTCCCTTTGTCAGATGTGTCAGAGTTCATCCTCCCGTCTTCCAGCGGCGTTCCAGCTACAGCCGAGCTAGAGGCAGAATCTGTAGTTCCTCCCACCCACCGACAACAAGCTCTTTCTGTCCCTGGAACCTCTGGTGCCTTGGCTCAGGCGGGCAAAAAAGTATTACTGTCAAGTAGCTTCTGAGTCCCGTGACCCGTGGGGTGGAGTAGACCTGCCCCAGGAGGCTATAAATCTTCACAAAAGCACCCTGCCACAGCGTTTTCCCCCGAGTGGCTGATAGATTCGAACCACCAACCTTCCTGTGAGCATCCAAGTGCTTACCCACAGTGCCGCCAGGGCTCCTTTGAGATGATCGTGTCAGGAAGTTAGATCCCGCTTCTGTGGCAACAGCTGTGCCTGTGCACACCAGTTCATTCTCACTTCCATTCCATCTCAACTCTGCTCCGGACTGTAGACCCTGACCACTGGGAGCCGTGTCCGGCCTCACAAGTCCTCCAAACTGCCAAGTCTGCTCCAAACTTGAGATGTCAGCCGTAAGCTGAGAGTCCCACATCACCCGCATTTCTGACTTGCTGCCTGGCCTTTCCCAATGCCGGTGTAAGCTCCAGGCCCCTCATTTCCGGCCCGTTAGCTTCCATTACTTCCTCATGCTTAATGATTTGCTAGGACCACTCACAGAACTCCAGAAAGCGGGAGGTTGAGAGTGCCACTTTTATTACAGCAGAAAGGATGCAGATGAAAAGATGACTGGGGCGAGGTCTGGGATTGTGCCCAAGCGGGAACATCCATGTCCTGAGAGAGACCTCCTGTGATTCTGTGTGCGCCAGAGTCTGTCACCATCCAGGATGCCATGGGGCGTCCATGTCCTGAACCGCTGCTGAGGCCTCCTCATGTAATCATGGTGACTGAGTCACACTGCATCCTCTCCTGAGCGGGCTCTATGAAGTATGACATTCTGGCCTGAGCTGCTCCCCTGTGAGTTAGCTCATTAGCATACCCTGTCAGACTTAGACACTGGAGTCATTGGGGCAATGCCAAGATTCTAGAGGTTGTCGCTCAGGAACCAAGGAGAAAGACCAGCAGGGGCATCCCTGGCTCTCTGACAGTGGTATCGGGTGCTGTTGACTCTTCCTGCTGTTGGTAACTCCCCAGGACAGAGTGGAACTGCTGCCGAGGGTTTTCTAGTCTGTAACTTTTACTGCCTTTCTCCCTCTGAGAGGTTGGTAGGTTTGAATCACTGATCTGTTGGTTAGTGCTTTAATCATTGCAACACCAGGGTTCCTTGGTCTTTGGCTCTAGCACCCTTTATATGGCTAACTGTGGACCATTCCTCTTTCCCCCTTAACTTACCACTACTTGTATCGTTGTCTGGATTGAGCCTGTCCTCAGTCCAGTCACACTGCATCCTGAGCAGAGTTTCACTCAGTTGACAAGCACTGATTAACATGACCAGTGTGCCAAACTCATCAGCAACGCTGGGGTTATCCCAGAGCCGGAAGACTCATTCAGGAGGTGCTGGCGCACAACTAGAATCCCAGTCAGCGGTCAGCGGTTAGTCCAGTCCACTGTCATGTGGCATGAACAGAGTATCTGTGAGGGTAAGGCCCCTCAGACTTACTGCAGGCTCCTCTTTGTCTTGTGAGATTCTCTGTAAGCTGGAGCCATCTCAGGAATACATGGATTCATGCCTTCAGGCATCTTGCATAACTAAGTTGTTGTTGTTAGGTGCCGTTAGGTCGACACTGACTCAGATTGACCCTGTGCACAACAGAACGAAACTGCCCAGTCCTGGGCCCGCCTCACAACCGTTGCTATGCCTAAGTCCGTTGCTCTTGCCACTGTGCTAGTTTCTATGCCTAGAAATCTGAAAAACAGCTACCAGGCCAACTGACTGGTGGTGGTGTTAGGTGCCTTTGACTTGGTACCAACTCATAGTGACCCTATGCACAACAGAACGAAATACTGCCCGGTCCTGGGCCGGCCTCACAGTCATTGGCTACACCTGAGCCGCCATTGTCAATGCATCTCATTGGGGGGTCGTCTTTTTCCCTGACCCTCCACTTTACCAAACGTGCCATCCTTCTCCAGGGACGGATCCCTCCTGATAATATGTTCTAAGTAGGAGAGACGAAGTCTGGCCACCCTGGCTTCTAAGGAGTACTCTGCCTGCATTTCTTCCAATCCAGACTAAGACGGTGCCAAGTTTTGCTCAGAACCTCCTTCCAGGTGTGAATGTTGTTGTTGTTAAGTGCCGTCGAGTCGGTTCTGACCCATAGCGACTCTGTACAGGGTTTCCGAGGGTGTAAATCAGCTTTTGGATTTCCCTGATTACATCACCCACTCCTGCCTGCCTTTACCATCAGCACCTTTTCCTCCTCTCCATGTACGCTTTCACCTTTGAAAGGACTTTGGGTTCAGCCCCTCTGCTGGCAACAGTACTAACCTAGGAAGCACTTCCTCAGTCCGTGGCCACAGTTCGTTCTGACTTGCAAATCACGCCAATTCCATTACAGATACAACTTCCGCTCTGAAAGCATTGCATCAGGAAGTGCAAAACCGTGTGGGGGCCATGCCTGACTTCCTCAGGCTTCCCAAAGGGGAGGGAGAATCAAACTAAAATCAGCCCAAGACTGATGGCTGTGAAGCCACGGTCAGACATGTCCCCAGCCTACAACCTTCTCTACCCTGTTCTGACCCCAGCCAGCCCTCCACAGCACTATGCTTCACCTGTGGGCTCGCTAATCCATTGTAGTGGCCACAGAACAGTGGCCACACAGAACAGTGCACATGATTACGGGGTTTATCAGGGAAGTGAGGAGGGTACGGTTCAGACTTAGAAACAACTCTGGATGCAGCCGTCTTCCTCATTTCTGACCTGCTGTCTCCGACCACTACCTTGGGTTCAGTGACTTGCTAGAGTGACCCACAGAACTCAAGGGAAGTTTTCTACCTACAATTACAGTTTTATTGTAAGAAAGGAAACAAATGAAGAGACACTTTAGGCAAGGCCCAGAAGGACTCAGTATCCTCCCCTGCCAACGTGTGCTGTTTGTTAACGACCAGGAACTGCATGAAGCTTTTACTGAGTGTCCAGAGCCTTCATTGAGGCCTCACTGCTTATGCATGCTGATATCGAGCGGTGAGTTTCTGACCTGGTCAGCCTCCACCCGGGAGCCACCTCAGGGGTGGTCTAGGAACATCAGCCAAGATGCATAAATCACTGGGGAAAGTGCTGATGTCGCCTTCTAGGAACCAAGGAGAAAGATAGAATCCTTTGGATACAGTTACCTTAAACTATTCAACCTGTAATCCAGCCCTTTTTACCTTTACCTTCCCTATTTTGTTGTTACATGCCTTCTAGTCGCTTCTGACCCATAGCGATCCTGTGTAGCATTTCTAAGGAGTGGCTGGTGACTTTGAACCACCAGTCTTGCAGTTCAAACCGAACTTGTGGTCAAGTGCCACACCAGGACTCCTTTGCTGTTTTAGACAACCAGTATTTCCATTATATACTCCAAATCTCTGTCAAACCATCAACATCTCGTGCAGAATAGCACATGTGACATGGTTTTGACAAACTGCACCGCCAACACACTTGAGTTTCCTGCAAGTGTCATGTGTTACATGTGTGCTCATGTTACTTACGTGAATGTGCTATCTGAAAATACAATACTCTGAGGATGCATGTGCTCTTTAGTCTGAAGAAGTATGACTTGAGGACCCAAACTGCAGCATTTTCTCTTCTGGTTTTGTTGCAGGACCCGGAGCATTTAATTCATCTTCCACTGGGCAAGTAAAACCCAGTCCCGTGTGCTCGTACCTTTTAGAGCCTATTTGTACTTTCCGTAGGCTGCTGGGGTCGATGTGACTTGCCAGCGATGTGCAGGCCCTCCGCTGGGGACAATCTGTGCTCTGACAAAGGCTGCCCCTTTGTTGGCGGACACAATGGTTTTTACTACCATGCTGCGCCTTAGAGTGTGCAAGAGAAAGATGGCTGGTTTCTCACTGCTGTTTTTATTTTGCAATTCTGAATTGTTGTGTATTTCTTTCATTCATTTACTAAGTTTATTGTTAAGTTCCTCTGAGTCGTTTCCGACTCAGCTACCCTGTAGCGGCTGGTGAGGTTGAACCATCAAACTTGCAGTTCAACCAACCTTGTGGTCCAGTATTTATCCTACAGTGCCCCACCAGGTCACCCATTTTACTGTGCCTTTTTCACCATTTCATGATATACTGTTATTTAGCATTTATCTGTGTACAACAGTTATACAGTAAATATACAACACAATCTGATGTTTGTTTCTCATCAAACATGAGAAAGCCATTTGGCTATTGTCAGTTGGTGTGTACGTTGGGTGGTGATCCAGAACTCTCCCCTTTCAGTGTTAGCATAACTATATATCATGAGTGGTTTGGTCATGGGGAATTTGAACCTAGGCTTTCTGAAAACAACTTCGATTTTATGTAATCATTCTTCCTTTCTTGAGGAACTCTGATTCCCTGTGTGTTCCTAAACATTTGACGACAGTGGTTGACAAGTTTCATGACTCAATTCAGTATCATTATTGCTTTGGTGTAACATTATGTCTTTTAAAATAGAATAGTTTTCAACTGTGGTTAATAAGAAACCTATGTTTCTTTGATATCTTCTAGATGTCTCTCCTACATGTGTGATTAAGGTATCATCTGCAAAAGAGAACATTAATAGAGGAGAATTACTTGAAACAATGCATGACATTGAGGATTTTGACTTCAGGAAAGTCAAGAAAAATATGCATGAGTTTCCGAGTCCGTGGGGAGATATTAAAAGAAACTACAAGGAAGTGACTGCCACCGTTAACAAGGACTTCACTTGTAGAAAAGATCAACACGATAAAACAGACGTGGGAAACAAGTACATGAAATGTTTTGAAAACACGATTGGATTAAGGTTTCAGTTACAGCTGGATGAAATGCAGAGTTGTCAAACTGAAGAGAAAATGTATGAATCGGATCAAGATGAGCAGCCTGTCCGTAACGGTTCTTCAATTTCACCGCCTCCAACAGTTCCTCCCACTGCCAAAACCAACGTTTGTAATAAATATGGAGAGGTTTTTATGCATCCTTCATTGCTTGCACAACACCAAAAAACACACGTTAGAGAAAAACCTTATAATTGTAATGAATGTGGTAAAACTTTTAGCCAAAAATCAACCCTTGTTAATCATCAGAGAATTCATGCAGGAGACAAACCATATGAATGTAACGTATGTGGCAAGGTCTTTACACAAAATTCAAACATTGCATTTCATCTGAGAACCCATACTGCAGAGAAACCTTATAAATGTAATGAGTGTGGGAAAGCTTTTATACATAATTCCAGCCTTGTGGATCACCAGAGAATTCATACTGGTGAGAAACCTTTCAAATGTCATGAGTGTGGTCAGGCTTTTATCAGACGTTCACAACTTTGGGATCATGAGAGACTTCATACTGGGGAGAAACCTTATAAATGTAATGAGTGTGGCAAAGCCTTTAACCGTGGCCCAAATCTCACTACCCATCAGAGAATCCACACTGGTGAGAAACCCTATAAATGTCACGTTTGTGGCAAGGTCTTTAATCAAAACTCACACCTTGTGATTCATCAGAGAATTCATACTGGAGAGAAGCCCTACAAATGCAGCGAATGTGGTAAAGCCTTTATTTATAGATCCAGCTTTGTCAAACATCAGAGGATTCACACTGGAGAGAAACCTTACAGTTGCAATGAGTGTGGTAAAGCCTTCACTTGTGGTCAGCACCTCACTAGACATCAGAGGGTTCATACTGGAGAGAAACCACACAAATGTAGTGTGTGCGGCAAGGCTTTTATCCAAAAATCAAAGCTTGTGCGACATCAGAGAGTTCATACTGGAGAGAAACCTTACAAGTGTAACGAGTGTGGTAAGGATTTTATCCATAGTTCAAGCCTTGTGCAACATCAAAGAATTCATACTGGAGAGAAACCATACAAATGTAATGAGTGTGGCCAGATGTTTTTTACACACTACCAACTCTGGTATCATGAGATAATTCACACTGGGGAGAAACCGTACAAATGTAATGAGTGTGGCAAAGCCTTCAACCTTGGCTCAACTCTCAATACACACCAGAGAATTCATACTGGAGAGAGACCCTATAAATGTAATGTATGTGCTAAGGGCTTTATTCAGAAATCACAGCTTGCAAATCATCTGAGAATTCACACTGGAGAAAAACCTTACAAGTGTAATGAATGTGGGCAGACCTTTTTCACGGGCTCTCAACTGTGGTCTCATGAGAGAATTCATACTGGAGAAAAACCTTTCAAATGTAATGCCTGTGGCAAATCATTTAACCGGAGCTTGCAACTTACTAGACATCAGAACATACACCTTGGAAAGAAACCACACGTCTGATGTGTGTCCCAAGACTTTTTTTTTTCCACCCCCAGAGATCAAAACTTGTGGACATCAGAGAATTCATAATGGATAGAGTCCTTACTAATACAGTGAGTGTATCAGATCATACATACATCCTTGAGAAGAAACTACATGAAAATAGTGTGTGTGACTTGACTTTTACCCAAAGTCCTGGCAATGTGAACAATAGAGAATTGATACTGTAGAGTGTTTACAAATAACGGTGAATGTGGTAAGCCTTTTTTCGATTGTTCACACCTAAGGCGTGTTGAGAATTCATACTAGAGAGAAGCTTTATAAAAAGTGTGCCAAGGTCTTTAAATAGCGATCTGATCTCAGGCTGCAAGAGTTCATACAGGATGAAAACCTTACAGGTAGAAAGGCGAAAGTACATGGTGGAAAATCCACTTATCTTCAGTCTGTCAAATATTTCTATTCAGTTATTTGTGGTGTCCAGACAAGATTACATTATTACTCATGAGTTTCAACCTGAGGCTTGAAATCTGTTGATACCATGTCTTCACTACTGACCTTTCATGTGTCATCACCATGTTGCCCTTTTGAGAAGGGAATCAATGAAGAGGAATGTTTTAAATTTTACTTCTGTGGTCGATTATATGGGTAACAAAACATTTGTCATTTCAACCATCTTCACATGCACAGTTCAGTGACATCCATTATTCAGTAGATGGGATTCATTCATGATCCAGATATCCGGAAGAACAAGGAGACTGTACTTTAAGATACAGTCTGGTGAAAATTTGTATGAGAGGATGGGATGGGATGGAGAGCAGCTGGAAGGCTAAGGTCTGTGTCATGATTAATGCTTTCATGAACACCTCCTGGAGTGGGCTACTGTGGACTGTGCTGAAGGATTGTGCTGCCACTTGACAAACAGCAAACCAGGACATTGGGAAACAGATCTTGGTGGGAGCAGAGTGATAAGTTACCAAGAAGTTCATATGTTGTAGAAATAATAACGGGGGAATGATGGTCATCTCTTTTGAATCACAATTGTGGTTGAGTACTAAAGTTGAATGAAAAGTAGCGTTCTTGGGTAATGAAGAGAATCACCATCAGAAGAGTCTCATAAAAAGATCAAAACTGCATGTGCAAGATTCACGTTTAACCACTGGCATAGCATTTTGGTACTGTTTATTCAGCGTAGCATAAGACTCATGTTTAATAAACATTGAATCATTTTTCCATAACCCGGAATGGATTATGTTCCTTTTATCAACAATCATCTCTCACTTCAGTAGAGAACTTCATCATACATACTAGCAATGTACCATTAGGCTATCAAGGTTAAGTGGCATATATAACAATTACTTTTCATGGTGAAATCATACACTTTGGAATTCTGGGAATATATACCCTAAATTTGCACTTAAGTCATTTTCTCTGCACTTTGCCTCAATATTTCTGTGGATATAAGAAAATTCCATAGCAGGGCAATTTCTTACTCAGACTTTTTAAAACTTCCCTCTCTATTTATGGATATTTGCTGGATTATTATATTTCCGCATGCCCTTTTAAAATTTCTAAATAAGAACCATGTCTTGCTTTTGTATTGATTTACATGAGGTGAAAAAATAGAAACATATTAAGCTTATGAAGAATGTTGGGAGTACAGAAAATATCCAGAATAACAATAAACTAGTATTTTTCTACCTGGAGCGTTCACTGGAATGAAAAGAATTATGTTAATAAATTTCCTCTTAAGAATGAAGATAAAGCATGGAGATTTTCTTAACGAACATAGATCTTTACAAACTTTCCTAAACATCTTTTGATAATTTTCCCAGGTGGTCAATGTGGAGTAGAATAATGTGTATGAACTTGTAGATTCCTCGAGCTGTTAGAACAAAATACCACAAACTGGGTGGTGTAAAACAACAAAAATGTATTCTCAATCTGGAAACTACAAGATTGCATTCACAGTGTATTGACTAGGTTAGCACCTTCTGGAAGAACAAGGACTCTTAAACTAGTTTTGGCCTTGGAGATTTCATATTTTTTAGGTACATCTTTCCAATCTCTACCTTTATTTTCTCATAGTATTCTAATCTGTGTATCTTATCTTTGTCTCTTCTGAGGACCCAAGTTAAAAAAACCAAAAACAACAAAAAAAATTAAGGCTCTGTCTGGTGGTGGTGGCTGTGTACCTTGGAGTCGGTTTCAGGGCTGTAATTCTTTACAGGAGCAGAAAGCCTCATATTTTTTCTCCTGTGGAACGTCTGGTAGTTTTGAACTGGTGACCTTGAGGTTAGCAGCCCAACTCATAATCACTGTGCTTTGGTTTCATACTAACTCATTACATATGCAATGACCCAAGTAAGGTCAAATACATGGGTACCATGGGTTAAGAATTGCACATATTGGTGTCATCTTGGGTTACACAATTCAGCCTAAAGCAGACCCACATCCAAAGGGGCATGAGAATGTTTATGACACATGAGAACAGAACTGGCTACTGAAGATGGCTCCAAAGTGGCTTGGACTTTTGTGGTTGTTAGGGATGGGGTGGTGTGAGGGTACTTGTGCACAGTTTGAATTTCCTGCTGGCAACAAGGGAGGGGCCAGTTGGGCTTTTATTTCTTTCTATCGAGTTGCTTGGATGTAGGTAGAAGGGAAAGAGATGAGGTTTTAAAAGCTGTCAGTAGTCAGACAGCAAGAAATAGAGTCTGACCCAAGACAACACTGAACTTTTTCTTG